GTGCTTTGAGAAAAAGTTCAGAAGGCATTCATAACAAGCGTGATTCCATATATTCACGTTCACGACTGTCGAAACAACAGGATGAAGACAGGGAGGATGGGCTCGGATGTTGACCGTTGGGGGCTCGAGATTATAGGTATGTGTTATCCGCGATATTGCCTTATTGTCTTTGGGAGTAAAATTTACTAAAATTAGCAAAATGTATGATGTGTTATCAATTCAAGGTGCGCTTAATATTAATTAAATATAATAAAGGATATGTACATTCTGTGTTCCTGGAAATTATTTGACTACGGTGCAGTCAAACCTGTGATCTACGTTTTTTTTGTAAGTACTAAGTCAAGTCTAACAAGTGTATTTGGCAGGGAGGTAGAGAGTATTGGCAGGGAGGTAGAGAGTATTGGCAGGGAAGTAGAGAGTATTGGCAGGGAGGTAGAGAGTATTGGCATTCGCTGCAAGATACGCACAGTACTTCTGATGAACCAATGGCTGGTAATCGTGCACGTAGGTCTGTGCTCGAAACCGACTGTGTTCAATGATGCCATAAATTTCACGTGCTATATATAACATAACCACCATTAGACCAGAGACTATGAATCATCGAACGTTGTACTAGTAAGTCTTTTAATAACCAGAACTTGAAGTGGTTGACTGTAGAATGTCGGTGACAGGCAATATATAACCAATCCAGTAGTGTAATGCCTGTTTATTAGTTTATCTTCCCACACACATTTTAACAATGGGTTGGTCTGTGACATCTGCAGTCTATATCGACAATAGATTACAATCCACCTGACGTATTGCCATGGAGGGGTGAGTGTGGTTTTACGCCGCTGTTAGCTACATTTCAACAATATCATGGCGGGGGACCCTACTAATGGGCTTCACATATTGTACCCACATGGGGGATCCAGCCGGGGTCTTCTGCGTGACGAGTGAGTGAGTGAAATTAGTTTTACGCCCCATATCGTCAATGCCTCCCCCACACCCTCTATTTATTCGCCTCTATTCTTTCTACCCCCTTCCTCTCTTTCTTTTCACTTACTTTCTTCACCATCCTCTATATTTAACCCCTTTCTTTCTATCCCATCTCTTCTCTTTCTTTTCACTACTTTCTTGAAGCTCCTCTATATTTAACCCCTTTCTTTCTATCCCGTCATCGTTCCCTCTCTCCCACTAGCTACACTACCAGCAAATGAAGTATTTCCGAAACATACCGAAGCGGTGACGGCGAAAACAATCGGAACGTACCAGTATGCTCTCTGCAATAAAACACCAAACAGCTGCGTTCGTCCATAAAACACAACTTATATCATATTTGACATTTTTCTCCAGTTCCATGATTATAGAGGTGTCGGTTCAGTTCCTCCAGTAACGCTGACAACCCAATGTTGAAGCCAGAGTACAGATGTGATTTACAGTTCATCGTTTATCCTGATATTTTCAGATTATTCTGTCTATCTGTATTATGTAGTTAGGGAAGTCATGAACCCATACTGTTACCGACATTGATGACGCGATTGGCTCCCCCGTCTATGTAATTTGACATGATGTATCTCGTCCCACTAACGATAACGATGCACCCCCACCGAGGACTCACCTTCAAAATAACCTCATTAGACAGCCCAGCGCTGTGCAACAACTCAGGTAGTTCGAGAAACAAACAAGCTCATAATATCTTTAAAAAGTGCGTGCTTTGAGAAAAAGTTCAGAAGGCATTCATAACAAGCGTGATTCCATATATTCACGTTCACGACTGTCGAAACAACAGGATGAAGACAGGGAGGATGGGCTCGGATGTTGACCGTTGGGGGGCTCGAGATTATAGGTATGTGTTATCCGCGATATTGCCTTATTGTCTTTGGGAGTAAAATTTACTATAATTAGCAAAACGTATGATGTGTAATATTAATTAACTATAATAAAGGATATGTACATTCTGTGTTCCTGGAAATTATTTGACTACGGTGCAGTCAAACCTGTGATCTACGTTTTTTTTGTAAGTACTAAGTCAAGTCTAACAAGTGTATTTGGCAGGGAGGTAGAGAGTATTGGCAGGGAGGTAGAGAGTATTGGCAGGGAGGTAGAGAGTATTGGCAGGGAGGTAGAGAGTATTGGCAGGGAGGTAGAGAGTATTGGCAGGGAGGTAGAGAGTATTGGCATTCGCTGCAAGATACCACAGTACTTCAATGGCTGGTATGCGTGAACGTAGGTCTGTGCTTGAAACCGACTGTGTTCAATGATGCCATAAATTTCACGTGCTATATATAACATAACCACCATTAGACCAGAGACTATGAATCATCGAACGTTGTACCTGTTAGTATTTTAATAACCAGAACTGGAAGTGGAGGACTGTAGAATGTCGGCAATATATAACCAATCCAGTAGTGTAATGCCTGTTTATTAGTTTATCTTCCAACACACATTTTAACAATGGGTTGGTCTGTGACATCTGCAGTCTATATCGACAATAGATTACAATCCACCTGACGTATTGCCATGGATGAGTGAGTGTGGTTTTACGCCGCTGTTAGCTACATTTCCACAATATCATGGCGGGGGACCCTACTAATGGGCTTCACATATTGTACCCACATGGGGGATCCAGCCGGGGTCTTCTGCGTGACGAGTGAGTGAGTGAAATTAGTTTTACGCCGCTTTTAGCAATATTCCACCATTATCACGACGGGGAATACCAGAAGTGGACTTCACACATTGTACCCATATGGGGAATCGAACCCGAACCCGGTTCTTCGGCGTGACAAGCGAACGCTTTAACCACAAGGCTACCACACCGCCCCTTACCACATTGTAACCGTCGGGGTAAACGAACCCGGAGCTTCGACGTGGACGATTGCGGAAATCGAACCTAGGTCTTCGGCGTGACAAGTGAACGCTGTATCCACTAGGCTAACCCGTTAGTCAGGACGCTCTTAGCTAGGAAATCCTGTATTTCAGACAACTTTGTTTGAAAACCATAAACATTTACAGACGTTCTAACTGGCTCGATTATTTACAGATAACCGACATATGGCGGGAATACTGTCGAGTGCAGTCCAAAATAAATATACATTTGTATATATATATATATATACAAAGAATGTAATTCCCATTAAAACAGGTTTTATGTGAATTTCCAACACAATAAACATTTATCAAAGGACGGATTGTGTTTAAAATAGAACTATCCATTTTTCTTCGAAACTGTCATGAACAAATTTGGTGATTAAACCAGTGTTTCAAGAGGAACCTCGTGGTTCTTTGATCAAAATCACCTAAATCTGTACGTTTCTGTTAATTATGACACGACCCGGCTCAAGATAAATCCGGATTGAGATTTAAAATTCATGAGACCTATACTTTCTTAACCGTCAATAAATATAAACCTTTCTTGAATAATAATGGGTTTATATGTAATGCGCTAAATCACCTAACACAACCTGGAAGCGTTAGATTATTAACCCGGTGAATGGATCAGCTCCTTGAGGAGTATTCCAAACAGTATTTGTTTTGAATATCAGGTTACCGTAATAACAGGGTTTCGATGTACGCTTTCGAGAAGTGAGGTGTCTGGAGTCAGCCAATCCGGTTCAACGAGGTTCCACTGTATCTCCGATTCAGGTTACTGACCGAATTGCATGCCAAACAGATCGCTAACGGCATGGCCCATCTGGTCTCGCTGTCATATGTAGGAGTAGAACGAGGAGATGGTCCACACATTGATAATATCTCTACAATAATTCGGCTATTTTCGGCACATTCCACCATCTTCCCCTCCTCTGATGACATTAACACACATGCAGTGAGAAACGCACAGCGCCTTTGTCAGATGTAGATCCGGTGTCTCGAGACTCGTGCGCTGCCATTCCCCAGCGCTGTATCAATAAGCCCGAACCTAAAGAAATCTTTTTCATTCACCATCGAACGCAAAAGAGGCTGTAGTTATACTCTGTCGATTTCCTCAAAGGATATAATTGAATTTTCCTTGAAATAGTTCGGTTTGATAAAAGAGCCGTTGTGCATGCTATAACGTAAATCAATAGTATTTATTAAACTGTCACTTAATAACTACAAACCATGTTTCTTACATTATCGTCCAAATCTAAATATATCGGACGTTGGCTTAATGCTTCTGAACGGCATGCACTCCTGAACAGTGAAACCCCGTTAACTCGGAAAACTCTATTAACGGACATGTACTCTTAGGTCTAAAGTACATACAAAGGGCTGTATGTACCAATGATTCGTAAATCTTGAAATTTGCTGATCCCTTGCATTTTGTAAAATAATAACTCGGAGTCCTCATTTCAGAGGCTTCAATGGATGTGTGAATTATTCAGAGTAACATTTGTTGCGGAGATGTAGAAACAAAAGAAATAATTAATATTTTCTTTGCAGTAATATGGATAAACAACAAGAACAACTCCTTGCTTGTGACTCCTGAATCTCTCATGGTGCAGGAGGTGTGGGGCGGGATGAGGAGGAGGGGTGGGTCGAGGTGGTGGGGCAGGATGGGGTAGGGTGGGGGAGGGTGGTGCAAACTCTCTAAGACAGGATGCGTCGAACATATCATACGGGACTGACACAGGTTTATACATATGGTCTCTGAAGAGGGGGATGTACATCCCCTGTATCCATCCCCCATCCACGCCCTTATCGTTCACGCAACCCGGATGTGCCCGAGGGTGCTACTGTACCCACATCGGAAGAGTACACGGCACCTCGTAGCATCATCTCGCTCAGCTCAGCGTGTTGATGCTGGCGGATTTATGTAACTGGATTACATTGCCAGGGTATCCACATTTAGGAAACAATATCTGTGAATTATCTACATACTTGTGGTGAACTACAGCAGTTAGTGAACATCACTTATTAATTGGTACGCAATCTAGGCATTCAATCTTGGATGCCATAGTCATGACGAGGAAGGTATAGGACTGGTTTAACATGCACTCGGCTAAAGACATATTTTAGTTGAACGTATAAGCATCCCTTACCTCGCGGTGCAACATGCACTAGTCTCCAGTCTGGGGAGGGGCCACCAAGTCGGGGTTTCGCATCTGGAAAGGAAGAAAAACTACTTGAAATCAAGACATACAATCTCTGTTTCCGTTTTGCACTGAGTTGATTAGGTGGCAAATGGTGGGTTTATAGTTCCGCATCTGCGAATGTGTTCCCGGTTTTATCAAATCATATCAATACAGGGGCGATTGGCTCCCCCCTTGCATCACTCCAATGATGGGGTAATTGCCATTCTGCTGTGTAGAAGTCATTTTATGCATTTACACTACACTGGAATATAACCACACACCATTGCATACAGAACATGGACAGCACGGTGCCAGTCTTGGATGGTACTGGTTCAAGTTCCACTTACATAACAAGACGTGAAGAAACACTTATCACTCCTTTGAAAGACAATATTCCCTTCAGGAAACAAGCACTTAAACAGACACACCGACAGCTAGAGAAGGCTTCTTGGAATTAGGCACAACTCGAAGTTCTTGAAGAATGGACGCCTTGACAATGTAAAGTGATGCTATTCTCCGACTTGGACTAATAATAACGTGAAAACGGCTAGGAATATACTTGACAAGACCCCAGGGAAGAGAGGTGTAGTCCCAGTCTAGCGTAAGAACCGCTGTAGTGGCGTGTGTAGTGTTAACCTAAATTAGCATAACTCCAGTACCTTTTCACGAGGTATTCTTGTAGAGAGCTGTAGCGGAGATTAGTCGTCATATTGGCCGTTGTTCAACATGGCTTGCGTTCTACCGTGGCATTTCAGTCGGAGCAGTAGAGCTACGCAACGCCCGTCTTGAATCTGAATACCTCGTCTTCCTTTTCTTATACGCATGTATGAGATAGCTCTGTGCATACTTAAATATCGCCTTCCATGTTACCCAATGTAATGGGGCTGACCTTCAAGCTGTGGAGCATCTGTTCAGATGGCGACAAAAGATACATCACGTGACCTGTCAGTAATATGACTTAATGGGTTTAATACACCGTGTATTATCTCACGCACTTTGTCATTAAGCTAGCTCAAGTTTTATATTTTATTCATGAATGCGTTCATGATAATACGGACTGGTTTTAGATATCTAGAACTCATTTACATCGAGAAAAAAACCTAAATCGTTAATGAAACTAGTAAAAGAGAGAGTGTTATGGTGAGAATGGTGACTACGTCGCTTCTAGCAATATCCTGGTAGTACCACGGGGTGGGGAACAGGAAATGGGGTTCCCATATTGTGAGTGAATGAGTATGGTTTTACGCCGCTGTTAGCAATATTCCAGCAATATCACGACGGGGAATACCAGAAGTGGACTTCACACATTGTACCCATATGGGGAATCGAACCCGAACCCGGTTCTTCGGCGTGACAAGCAAACGCTTTAACCACTAGGCTTTAGGGGCGGTGGAGTAGCCAAGTGGTTAAAGCGTTTGTTTGTCATGCCGAAGAACCGGGTTCGGGTTCGATTCCCCATATGGGTACAATGTGTGAAGTCCGGGCTTCATACATTGTACCCATGTGGGGAATCGAACCCGGGTCTTCGGCGTGACGAGCGAACGCTTTAACCACTAGGCTACCCCACCGCCCCCATTGCCTGGACAGAGGGTAGCTAAGTAAATGAGTGTTAGGTGTTAGCTCATCACGCCAAAGACCGGGTTCGATTCCACATTACTAGTGTCCCCCGCCGTGATATTGCTCAATGTCGCAAAACGCGGCGTAAAACCATACTCACTCAAAAAAGATTCCGTTAGTCAATAAAGGTGAGTGCACACAGAAAATCTGACGATGTGATTAATGCGATGGGTGATCTCAGCACGTTTATCTGAGCGTTTACACATGGTGGCCTTTTACATCACGACTCTGTAGAAGGACGTATATGCACTTGTGCTGTCATTGAAACATAGATTAATAATAGCATATATGAAAGAACACATTAATAACACTGCTGAACGATCATATACAGCTGACTGAATCATTTAGCAGGCAATTGCTATGCAGTAACTGTCTCGCAACGTGATTAACATTTATAAATGCATCAGTGTATTATAGCACATTATCCTGATTACCGTCTCGATTCATACATCGCTTGTTCTAAGCTGTTCAGTCCAGAAACTCGCAGTTAGGATCATTTCACTAAGGGGATCGGGGCGGTGGGGTAGCCTAGTGGTTAAAGCGTTCGCTCGTCATGCTGAAGACCCGGGTTCGATTCCCCACATGGGTACAATGTGTGAAGCCCATTTCTGGTGTCCCCGCCGTGATATTGCTGGAATGTTGCTAAAAGCAGCGTAAAACTCAACACACGCACTCACTAACGGGATCGAGTGGTCAGACTCGCTGACTGATATGTTACCATATCCGTATTGCATAGATGGTTATGATGTAAATCAGTGGATTGTGTGGTCCGGATCGTATTATTTACAGCCCGTCCTCATATACCTGTAATACTGTTGTGAAACAACAAACACGAAACAACAAACATATGAAACATATGACCCTAATGTGTCGTTAGTTAGGTGAGTGAGCGAATTTGGTTTTACGCCGCTTTTAGCAATATTCCAGCAATATCACGGCGGGGACAACCAGAAATGGGCTTCACACATTGTACCCATGTGGGGAATCGAACCGGGTCTTCATCATGACGAGCGAACGCTTTAACCACTAGGCTACACCACCGCAGACAAATTAAAGCAGTGGAAACAGATTGACGCGATTCTACTGTGAACAAGGCCAGGAAACAAACAAGAGTGTATTTTTATAGAACAAAAACACTGCCTCAGAGGTCTTTAAGATGAAAAAGAAAACATTAAAAGAAAGCGAAGGGTTTTTCTTGAAGATGTAAAACCTTTGAACATGCTCGAATGGCTTCTTGTGGTTCAGTGACTCAAATGTCCTTGCAATTTACGACCAATGACATCACTACAATGCACTGCAATCATTAATACAAATTAAAGTTATGAGCCGCGACAAGGCAAAATTTGCTCCAGTAATTACATATTAATTTCCCATTTCTAAGTATCCTTTATAATGTCACATGCCCAAAATAGCTCGCGGAAAATTAACGAAATTATGAAATGATCACCGGCGCTCAATACGTTTTCCAGGGCCTTCAATCACATGGGATGTAATATGTCGCAACAACAACAGTTCTAATCTGGGACTAATTCCTTACAGGCTATTGTCATGCAAACGAATAGGAATTGATCTACTCTGATTGTAAGGCTTAGAAATGAAGGTTTACCTTTTGAATGTCAAGACTAGGTTACCTAGCTAAAACATACACAGCTCAAAAGAAGTTAAGGATTACCCAATTTCTTTCACATTGCTGTTGTTTAATATTTATTATAGGCTATTTATATAGCGCACATATCCATGCAACTAGTGCATGCTCAAGGCGCTTGTATTTGTTCGCTCGATCATTGGATGTCAATATCAACGGCACATCGTATTATCAATCTCAACTCCCTGGGGAGTATACAACTTACATAGTATACTTTAGTATACTTTATATGTCATGCCATGACGGATTAACTATATTTACTGTAATATGAAAGAAATTAGTGATTCTTAACTTCTTTTGGGTAGTATATACAGTTTAACAGCAGTAACATGAAAGAATCGGATAGTCCTTAATTTCTTTTGAGTGATATAATATTCTGTCATGACACGATGTACTACGCATAGTAATATTTTTGTTTGTTTGATGTTTAACGCCGCACTCAGCAAAATGAGCGTATTCTTATGACTCAATGTAATGATCGTATTCTTATGACTCAATGTAATGAGCGTCTACTTATCATCAACGTAATGAGCGTATTCTTATGACTCAATGTAATGAGCGTATTCTTATGACTCAATGTAATGAGCGTATTCTTATGACTCAATGTAATGAGCGTATTCTTATGACTCAATGTAATGAGCGTATTCTTATGACTCAATGTAATGAGCGTATTCTTATGACTCAATGTAATGAGCGTATTCTTATGACTCAATGTTTGTTTGTTTGTTGTTTAACGCCACACTCAGCAATATTCCAGCTATATGGCGGCGGTCTGTAAATAATCGAGTCTGGACCAGACAACCCAGTGATGAACAGCATGAGCATCAATCTACGCAGTTGGGATACGATGACATGTGTCGACCAAGTCAGGTGTCAGCAGAACGGTAAAGAAAGTAATGTGTCATTAACTTCATTTCAGTAATATTTGTCACGTCATATTAGTAATATGAAACAAATCTGGTTGTCTTAACTTCTTTCGAGTAGTGTATATTGTGTTATGCCCCGATAGATTATCGTTAGTAATATGAAAGTCTCCAGTAGTCGTTACGCCCATTTCAGTAACATAATCACGTTATGTTGCTATAATATAGTCTGTTATTCTCCACCGTCCGGAAAAAAGATTTGAGCTGAGAACGCAAAATGGCTACAGCGTTCGCTCTTGACGCTGAAAATCGGGTTCAGTTCCCTACCTGCGTGTATTAAATCTGTCATATATCTGGAACAGTGCTAAAACCGTGGAAAATCACAAATACGTTCTCCCTGGGACCCTGTCATTTACTTATCAACGGCACACCTAGCCGCGCACATGAGCCAGGGAACCAGTTAAATCGGTTCGGATGATCAAAAGCACCTGCAGCAGTAGTGCAGTCAGGTGAGATGGTGCTGTAGGGCGCTGTTTGCACAACAGCGGGTAACATATACCTGTGCACCACGTGCATTGTTAGCATACTGCAGGCTGGGTACAGAAAGGCAGCACGGGAGCCATACTTTCCCAGTATCCCCCTCATATTGTAATAATCACTCGACCGAACTTACAAAGCATGGTTGATCTCTCGTGTCTGTTACACGTGTTTTGTTAATGCATTTATTACAAGAATGAACACGAATTAATGTTTTAGATACAATCAAGCATGGATTTGAAAGCTGTTGCACTAATATTTTAATCCAGTTTAACAGCAGTAACATGAAAGAATCGGATAGTCCTTAATTTCTTTTGAGTGATATAATATTCTGTCATGACACGATGTACTACGCATAGTAATATTTTTGTTTGTTTGATGTTTAACGCCGCACTCAGCAAAATGAGCGTATTCTTATGACTCAATGTAATGATCGTATTCTTATGACTCAATGTAATGAGCGTATTCTTATGACTCAATGTAATGAGCGTATTCTTATGACTCAATGTAATGAGCGTATTCTTATGACTCAATGTAATGAGCGTATTCTTATGACTCAATGTAATGAGCGTATTCTTATGACTCAATGTAATGAGCGTATTCTTATGACTCAATGTTTGTTTGTTTGTTGTTTAACGCCACACTCAGCAATATTCCAGCTATATGGCGGCGGTCAGTAAATAAACAAGTCTTGACCAGACAACCCAGTGATCAACATCATGAGGATCAATCTACGCATTTGGGATACGATGACAAGTGTCGACCAAGTCAGGTGTCAGCAGAACGGTAAAGAAAGTAATGTGTCCTTAACTTCATTTCAGTAATATCTGTCACGTCATATTATTAATATGAAACAAATCTGGTTGTCTTAACTTCTTTCGAGTAGTGTATATTGTGTTATGCCACGATAGATTATCGTTAGTAGTATGAAAGTCTCCAGTAGTCGTTACGC